CCCACATTTTAAATATTTCATCAACATATCATCTACATATAATCAAATAATGACTACATGATTTGAAGTATTCTTAACGTAAACACATTTGTTTACACTCATTAATTTTTGAAACCATTTGACAATATTAAATATGTCATTGTTTGGGTGCTTGTAAAGTGACGTAACAAGTCGACACACCTTCTTTTCCTTTACAGGAACCACGAACCCTTCAGGTTGTTCCATATAAATTTCTTCCTCCAAATCTCCATTTAAGAAGGTTGTCTTTAAGTTCATCTGATGGATTTCAAGGCCATACACCGCGGCTAACGCTATTAACACCCGAGTAGATGTAATCCTCATTACCGGCGAGTATGTATCAAAACAATCAAGATTTTCTCGTTGTCTAAATCATTTGACAACTAATCTTACCTTATATTTGTCAATAGTACCATCAGCTTTCATTTTCTTTATGAAAATCCACATAGAACGCAAAGGTTTATTTCCTGGAGGAAGATCAACAAATTCCCAAGTATGATTACTTAATATGGATTCTATGTCACTATTGACTACCTCTTTCTAGCATTGCTTCTTTAAATGTTTGAGGCTCACTTTCTAACAAGAATGTCAGAAAATCTGGTACAAAGGAAGTAGTTATCCTTTGACGTTTACTACGTCTTGAATTTTTCTAATTCAACGTACTTTCCTTTGCTTCTTACCGAGTTTGCTTAGATATTTCACTAGATGACTCACATTCCTTTTTATACGGATAAATATTCTCAGAGAATTCAGCATTATCTGATTCGATTACTATATGAATATGAATGTCGGGATTTTCTGATTTATGAATCAGAAAATGATATGCCTTACTATTTGTTGCATATTTTATGAAAACGCGATCAATGGTTTTTGGTCCAATTTTTACCCTTTTGGGTTTAGGAACTCGCACTTTAGCGAAACACCCCCACACTTTAAAATATTTAAGTTGGGCTTCCTTCCGTTCCATTTTTCATATGGAATGGATTGCGTCTTGCTATGGGAAACTCGACTGAGTATTCGGTTAGTTGTAAGAATAATTTTTCCCCCACAAGTTCTGGGGTAAACCAGAACTTATCAACAAGACATTCATCATCTCCTTTAATGTTCTACTCTTTCTTTCCAATTCCATTAGATTGCGGTGACTAAGGGGTCGTCGTTTGATAAATAATACAACATTCCAACATATTTCTTCAAAAGGAGATTCACATTCGACGCCCCTATTACATTTGTGAGCCAACCACAAGAACAATTGTTTATGTCACGACAAAGCCAGAATAAATGGTGAAGTTTTTAATCTTCAAACCAATCTGACACAATCAGAATTAATAAATGGTGAAATTTTTAATCTTCAAACCGAATGATATCTGATACAAGCAGATCTAAACAGTCGGTGAAGTTTTTTAATCTTCAAACCGAGTATATATGACACAATCAAATTTAATAAACGGTGAAGTCTTTAATCTTCAACCCGAATAATAAATTGGAGTAGAAAATTACTAAGATTTTAATCTCCAAAACGAGTATAAAGTCACTTAGACTTTAATTTCCGACAAATGAGTAGAATGTCATGAAGACTTTAATCTCAACGAACGAGTAAAAAATCACGCAGATTTTGATCTCGAAGCAGGAGTAGAAAATCACGAAGATTTTATTCTCCATAGTGTGTGTAGAAAATCACGAGAATTTCAATTCACTTTCCAAATTGTTGGACCATTATAAAACTTTAAACAGTTTGATCTCTTTCTCTAATCAAACACATATATGTTCATCTTAATATATAGTATATTCATGATGTCAAGATACTTCAAGTATTACTGTAAGT